ACTGAGCCCTGGGGAACACCGCTCGTGACCGGCCGCCAACTGGATTGAACTCCATTCACCACAACTCTCTGGGCCCGGCCGTCCAGCCAGTTTTTGACCCAGCACAGAGTACACCTGTCTAAGCCGTGAGCTGCCAGCCTCTCTAGGAGAACGCTGTGGGAGACGGTGTCAAAGGCCTTGCTGAAGTCCAGGTAGACCACATAGGGTCACCTATGGGGTGAGAGAGGTTGAAAGATTTGTCCGTGTTCTGGTCTCCCTTTGCACCAGCCACACGAGCGTGGTTCAGTTACTGGAGATCGTGAGGCTGCCCTGGATTCGCTCTTGGCAGCGCCTGACCTGCTTTTGGTTTTGGGTGCTCAGTTAGAAATGTTCTGCAGGCCCCCATCTCTGAAAGCACTGATTAACCACTGGGAAAGATCAAGCCCTTGCAGGTGCCCGTGTTGAACATCCTAAAGAAGGGAGACATGTAAAATACCTTTTCGCATCTGAAAATGTTGTTAGATACTTGAATGGTATTTCCATTAATTCACAGTTAAGGCATGTGTTGGAAGTAACGTGTGGGAGTTGGTGTTGCAGCCGTCTCTACTGGCTCCTGTGATAAGGGAAGACATCGTTAAACACTTTCTACAAGAATGAACTCATATTTTCAAATAAATTTACTGCAGCTAATGAATATATACATTTTGCAGTGGTTCTGTTATTTCTGATTTGATAGGTGAAACCAATGACATCTTACTTTTTAATAATGTTTCTCCTTTCCTCATTGCCTTCCATCGAGTAAAATGGATTTCCATGTGAAAGCCACACAGAATGGCACAGCTCATCTTTAAAGTTTAGATGAGTTTACTCTTGCAATATTTCTTATTTTTCTATTTCTCTTCTTCATTTGATTGAAAGTGCCTGAACAACTGCTTTCTATTAGGTTATTGCTTGCAAAATTAACATTGCTGTACTAGCTAGAAACAGTATTTCAAAATGAGCCTCAAGCAACATACTTAACATCTACAAAGGCACCAATTTCATATCCATGCATAATGTTTAAAGAAATCCCTGCAAGGAGCCATATGGTTTTGCAAAGAATCAGTTGATGAATGAATGCTGGGTTGTGTAACTCATTCATGGTAGTCCCTTAGGCAGGTCCCAGCGAGAGCTAAGCTATTTTTTTTTTTTTTAAAATCAAAGACAATTACATAAAATTGTGTTTGCTCGAGTTGCTGAGTTTCTTTCCCCTTCTCCTTTTTAATGAACATGGTAAATATCCACCATTCAAATATTTCTATACTTCTTTCATCTGGACCAACCTGATAAAAGGCTGAAGAGAGCCAGAACACACCGAAGAACATTTAGCTGCAAAAGTCACAACCGCTCTGCACCTGCACTGATTTTTCCCTGACACGACTCTTCTGGGCTGGTCAGCGTAGGGGAACGCAGGACGCCGTGGTCTGCAGAGGCAGAACTGAACACCACCTGCTACCCCTTCAGAGCAATTACATAAAATTGTGTTTGCTCGAGTTGCTGAGTTTCTTTCCCCTTCTCCTTTTTAATGAACATGGTAAATATCCACCATTCAAATATTTCTATACTTCTTTCATCTGGAGCAACCTGATAAAAGGCTGAAGAAAGCCAGAACACCGAAGAATTCATTTAGCTGCAAAAGTCACAACCGCTCTGCACCTGCACTGATTTTTCCCTGACACGACTGTTCTGGGCTGGTCAGCGTAGGGGAACGCAGGACGCCGTGGTCTGCAGAGGCAGAACTGAACACCACCTGCTACCCCTTCAGAGCCTCGAGGCTGAGCGTTACTCTCAGTTTACACCTGGTTTCAGCAAAGCCTGAGTCTGCTGCTTCGTGTCGTGGATCGTGACAGATTGTTGATTCAAGAAGTTGCATTTCTTACCTCCGTGCTGAGAGATCAGCAAGAGCAACGCAGTTATGATTTGTGCGTTGCTCTCCAAAGTGAGCGATACCTTGCAGGAGCAGAGACTCTTCCAGAAGTACTGTCCTGTCCACCACCTCTCCAGGATACCCAACGCTATCCTCATCGGCAAGAGGCATTTGCAATGGGAATGTTCTCCTACAGGATATCTCCAGGCATGACCAGTTGGTCCATCCAGAGATCATCTCCAGCTGGTCCAGTATCTTTGGCCAAATACACAGGCAAAGAAAACCCCAGAATTTTGTCCATTGACACCAATTATTCGGGTCTGGGGGTTCTTACATTAAAGAAGAGCCATTTGTTCCATCACAAATGTAAAAGGTCAAACCGATGGCTCTAGGAAGGATTGTTTCAGACTTTTGTGTAATACTAAATTTTCTGGTGTAGTCTTTTTATAAAAGAAAAATCTAGGCAGGAGACAGTTCCACCATTTTACTAGGTGATTCTTTGCCTGGGATTGTTTTCCAACTGCACAATAAAAGAGCACATCAGGCAGAAAGAAACCCCACTGAACTTTTGAAATAGCTGTATTTGGCTTGATGATATGAAATTAAAAAGGAGGGTTTATTTTCGTGCCAAAATGGAACTTGGGCAAAAAAGCTTCCCTACAAATGATTTGGAGATAAAATAACTTTAGTTTCAGGCCTGGAGATGCAGAAACACGATAAACACTGATATTAAATTGTCACAGAGTTTGTGCCAGCTGGGTTGCAAAGACAATGCTGACCTTCCGTGGGAGATGAATAGATGCTTAACCACTGGTTTGATTCGAGCAAAAGGATGACAGTTATTTGAAAGCTCTGAACTACCTCGTGAAGGGTAAGGACTATGTTTAAACAGATGTTCTCAAAGGAGGAATAGTCTATTCATTAAACCATCAATAATGCAAGGCCAAAGATACTTGGTGACCTCCTCTAATTATGTGAAATATTGACTGTGACAACACTTCAGCCTATTGTAACATTTTATAATTCTGTCATAGGAGGAGATGAATGAACCTGCTCTGTACGGTCTAGATCACTAATTAAATAACCATTTGTAAGTTGGATGGAGCAGGAATAGCTGTAGGAGAACCATCACAAATCAAGGAGCACCTTCCTACACGTAGCTTATATTCATGTCTAGAATAATTTTTAAAAATGATCCTACAGCATTTCCTGAAACTGCACGCCAGCATTGACACACTTGACTAGTATCAACGAGGGTAAATTGCTTTTTCCTCCTTGGAAAGATCTACGCAGACTCTAACTGGAACCTAATGAGCATTTTTCTGTGTTAGACAATATATGTCCACATCACAAGTTAGTATTTCTACATGAATGCGCCCAAAGAAGATCAAGGCACGCCCCATCGCACTGCAAGCAGGTGTCTTTGGGGGTCTGGGGGATACCAGCCTTTAAAGGCAGGACTCAGATCAGGCAGTCCCGAAAAGGAGGAGCATGAAGCTTGTTAACCTGTAGAAAAGGAGAGTGCAGAGGAAGAGAAGAACCCCGAGCTTCCAGTAAGAGGAAATCCAGCCCAAATTCTGCTTGAAGACCCTCTGATGCTAAATCATACAGCGACAGAAATGCCACTTTCACGCATATGCAAATAGACCTGCTTTCAAACATACGATGTTAGCAGAAGTTTCTTAAACAACTTAAAGAGACTGATTTGGGTGTCACATTGGCTCATTGACGGTACGTTTCTGAACCTCTTTCTGCCTGCCGTCTGAGCTGTCCCGTCCTTGGAAAGCCACAGCCTGTAGTAGAACTGCAGTCGCTCGAGCTGGTTTCTCTAAATGAGAGACTGCAGAGAGCTGCGGCTTCAGATGCCCAAAGGAATTGCTGTTTTCTTCTTTTCTCAAGGATGTGGAAAAGGAGAGAACTGCTCTGAAGCTGCCACAAGCTGTAGCACTGCCTCCAGTTAAAATGGGAGCGATTAAGTCCATTCCTGATGTGAAACTGTTGTCATCGCTGTCGGACACGGACAGGCGGTGGGTCTGCATGTGTCACACAGCCATTGCACAAACACCGTCCGGTCAGTGGTTTTCCATTTCAGATTTCTCTGTCCTGTTTGTGCACCAGGTAGCTTGAACC